TAAACGTTGCTTTAAACTTAATGGTAAATTTTCGACGCTAGCACACCAGGTCGTCTGCGGAGGTGAGGGGAATGTTCCTGTTTCCCAAAGAATCTTTTCTGTCAAATTATATTTCCTGGGATGCCTATTTTCAAATTCATAGGGACGTATATTGCCTGAGTTAGCTAGATTTACGCTTAATTTCCTACTTTGATTCCCCTAGATTTCCCTGACTTGAGACACTTCATTAACTTGCCTTCATGCAGTCCGGGCTTTATGGGGAATGGCGTACAGTGAGAATCCCTCCCATCTCCAAATACCCACTAGTGTTCATCCGAAATCCTTTATTCCAGTTGCCTACTCTTCCGCACTGCTGAGACTTGCTGAACGACTTACTAACTCAAGTAATCTTTTCAATACAAAAACACATTTCAAAAATTATGGTTATTATTTTATGAGATAGAACATCCACCACGAGTTCTGTCTAGTAGGATAGGTGACCTGAAAATATGCCATTTGCGCAAGCGCAAATTGCTGGCATTTCGCTTGGCGTGGAGACCATTTTAATTTCCGCATTCAATTCATCCATTGCCACAAGCGAAAATCCACGGTCTTTACCAGCAACTGCGGAGTTCTTCGAGAGTGTACCTCACCACTTCTCCCTCCACACTGATGACTTTTTATTGCCAAATGATTATTTTATTATTAAGTATCCGGCGATATAGTTCTGAAAAATGGCCCGGTTCAAGTTTCAGCGTGGTCATTAGACAATCATCTTCTACGGAGTAACCTGGGGATAGTCTAATGCGTTTTCCGATTGCGACACTCTCCCAGTCCTGCATCCTTAGACATCCTGCCTAACGAGTAATCCTCTTTCTGGCACTTTGGTTTTTAACTGAAATTTATTCTTTCATTTCGTCTCGATATTGAAATCATTTTAACTACATCTCCTGTATATTATATTTGTCGGTTATATTCCTAGCAAACATCTCAAGCCCTGGCGTGGCGATTTGTAGATGTCTGTATTCTCCACCTCATTCTGTACTGTCCTCCGTCTATTTTGCCAACCTCGCTTTAAAACAAATGACTGATTTTTAAATATATCCTCCGAATGCCTTTTTCAAATGTTTGTGTTTCTTATTCCTTTTAGCTTATAGTATAATACAATGTCAAGATACAACGGTCAAGTAGTTTGCTGATCGAATTTCTGTTGATGTCGTCTGCCGCCTTCACTCTGACCTAATGGCCGCAATCTCTTCCCATACCATGCACAGAGGCGTCTGATACATTTATGTCTTGCCTTACATTGTCATTTCTAGCACGCTGCCTTGCGTGCAAAGAGACTGAAATTCAGACACTGATATTGAAACTGTCTCCATAGTAGACGTGCATTTTATGTAAACTTTTATCATCTTGCATATTTTGTTAATTTATCCCTTGGTCTCAGTGAATAGAGCCTACTTGCGGAAGCATTTGCCTGCTACTTTCAAAATAATGCGTACTTCTGTGTCTTTCTGTAGCCCTAAGGCAAAACGGTACGAGCATTTCCGGAAACGCGATCGATGGGCGCATTCTACCTTAGTATATAAACCCGATCGCAACTGAGACGAAGTCGAACTCGTGGCTCAGAGAATCAGTTTTGAACCAAAAGAACGCTAGTTCACACCTCAGGTGCAGTCAAGCACAAAGACGGATTTGATTGGCTGATAACGGTTAATGGATCATAAATGGCTATTCCCGCCTCCATTGTACTTGTTAATAGTCACTTTTCTACATATTTTCTGTCAATATGGTTAAGCGCATGTCGTTTGGCGTTGATGTGTGAAGGACCAACAATTAAAGACTGTGTTAATCCACTCCCGAGAGCAGCGCAACTACAGCCGACTCATGTTATTTTCGCTTGTCTAGCCTTGCACGCTCGTGCGTCACAACCAACCCCTCACGCAGGCAGCCAAATCAATGACCCCACTAAGTTTTCCATATTGAAAAAGATTTACATTAGCTCGGCAAAACACCTCGGAAAAAGAAATTACCAGATAAAAACAATACATAAATCGGCAACCATCTTAAGCACACAACTTATACATTCTCGGGCCGTTGTCAACTAATTCGACAGAAATCGTCGTCTAAAAAATCCCATGTGTCGACTGTAATGCCGCCTACCGTGGCCAAACAGGGAAATGTGTTTCACGTCAGGTTCGATTACATTACTTGACGATAAACATGTGGCCATGCGCACAGCGGGCACTGGACACATGGTTGTGTGGGAGAACATCGGTATTATTGGTGCCTGAATAATATGTGCAAGAATGGGAATTCCGGGAGGCAATGAAATCAGATAAGGTATGCATCAATCGGCATCTCGCTTTAGATGCCACATACAAAGTGTTCGTGGACATATTCAGACTAAGCGGACTTGACACGAAGCATTCCAGAAGAAACCACCCCTCCCTAGTCCAAAATCGGTATCGCACACCTAAATTAACGGTGTTGGTGTGGCATACCAACTAATCCTACATGACTAGCATTGTCAGTTCATGAGTTTTTTAGAAGTCCTGTTCCGGATATCTGCCGTGGAATTGCGTCTCTGTCTGCTACTTACCTGTAACCAGAAGTCTGCGACATTTGTTCGTTTGAGGCCTTGTATGCAACTTCCACATCATTTGGCCAGTCCGTAAAACCGCGAGTTTCTGTCCGGAGATCAGCCAGTCAAGGAGCTTATCAAATTCAAGGCTCCTGCGGACATGACCTCGCTTAATGCATTCGCACGCCTGTTCTGGCGGAACCGGACGTGCGAGTCCCATTCGGCTGTAAAATCGCCCCAAAATATTTTGCTCTGTCTTGTACGGCATAGAGATCTCACTCTAAGGACTTATAACTTACATATTTTCCTGATCGACACCTGGCTTTAAAGTACTAATGGTTAGGGTTTGCCCACAAAGAAAACTAATAGGACGGCGTAATGGACATGCTGAACCGGCACGGGGGTCAAATCAAGCTATAGCAAACATTTTTTTGGGTTGCGCTTCCATGACAAATTTCGAACATGGGGAGGGGGGTTTGGCGGCTCACAGGCTGCTCAGGTAGCAGCCACTCATGGCCTTTAAGGCACTGCCACTCCGCGGAATCTGCGTTAGGCAT